CGAAGCAGAACGCAAGCATGCGGACTCACTGCAATGCACAGCGCACCTCACAGAGCAGATTGTGAAGAACGAACCGGACGCTGATGTCATGGATAGTGTTGCGCACGACCGAGAGCAAAAGGCAGTTGTTCACCAGCGTAACCGAGCATCCGCAACAACCAGAGCTAATGAGGTGCATGCTGCCGCCACTCCAACAGCGAGCCTTGTCATTAGCCAGAGAGAAGGGAGGCTCTAGTACGCTCACGTCCATCCCAGTATCGGAACATGGGCTGTGTTTCGACGCGAAAGCCGATTTCCATGATCATGTCCACCTGCGCTATGGCTGGCCCTTGGATAGGCTGCCGGATACCTGTCCCTGTGCATGTGGAGAGCGGTTCACTGTGGACCATGCATGCCCAGATATGTAAGCTGTCGGGCTTCATTCACATGCGCCATGATGAGGTCACCAATTTCCTAGCCTCATGCATGAAAGAGATCCACAACGATGTGGAAGTTGAGCCGACACTCCAACCCATCACCGGTGACCATGGTGACCGGTGAAGCCTTTCGCTATCGTACTGCCAATGTTGAGCCCGATGCGCGAGCGGACATCCGGGTGCGGGGCTTTTGGAACCATAGCCGCAATGCATTTTTCGATACGAGGGTGTTCTATCCCCACGCAGCGAGCTATCGGTCCCAGCCCATTGCATCTATTTATCGCAAGTTGGAAGGTGCCAAGAAGCGGGAGTATGGCGAAAGAGTTAACCAAGTTGAGCATGGCTCGTTCACACCACTGGTCTTCTCCTCTTGCGGTGGAATGGGTCCAGAGGCAGACATCGTCGTAAAGCGGATTGCTGATGCTCTGGCTTCTAAGCGCAAGGAGAGCTACAGCAAAGTCGTTTGCTGGATGCGCTGCTGCTTGGCTTTCTCTCTTGCTAGGTCTGCGATCCGGTGCGTTCGAGGATCACGCTCCGTTCGCCGCCGTCACATCAACCTTGTGCCTGTCGACCTCGTCCAGGCTGAGGCTCGCCTTGCTACGCATTAGACTGTCTTCACAGCCATTTTAGCTCCCTCCTTATTGGACTGTTTTCACAGCCATTGTAGCTTCCTCCGTATAAGACTGTTTTCACAGCCATTTCAGCTCATTTTCTCTCGTACTAAGCTGTTGACCTTGCACTTGTGTTTATTTTGCCCGTACAAGAGGCTGGGGAACTACCGGTAAAAAATAAAAAAAATAAAATAAAAAAGTAGCTACGTTGGTCTAGCTAGACCAGGGAGTCGTCAAATTTAGAAAAGCGATCCTGTCAGCTTTTCTATTATTGTGTTCACATGGCAAGAAAAACGACACCGCTATGCTACGTAAGTTTCTACGTAAGGTGCTCGGTATTTCACTTAGGCTACGTAAGTCTCTACGTAAGGTGCTCGGTACAGTAGGGAGGTTCTGCTCTATCTACGTTTTGGAAACGCGACGCAAAGAATCACGCGAACTTTCTTCGCGTTCCCGTAACGTAAAGAAATGCTGTTCTGCTCTACGTTTCACCTAGAGAAGTCACGTGGAATGTGTACTGGGAATTTCCCCTTCCATATTTGGCAGTTTTCTGCATGCAGTTGATCGATACCCAGCAAATCCGTACGCATTTTCTCTGCGTGTGCCACAACGTATTTAGAAAAGCGATCCTGTCAGCTTTTCTATTATTGTGTTCACATGGCAGAAAAAACGACACTGCTATGCTACGTAAGTTTCTACGTAAGGTGCTCGGTATTTCACTTAGGCTACGTAAGTCTCTACGTAAGGTGCTCGGTATTAGATCTACCAACGCGTGGTAGCCGTGTGCTGTGCACGTGCACGGCAGACATTGTGTTCAGTGCATGCAGTCCGCGGATCCGTGTTCGGATGTGCATGCGCGAGGAACTTCCTTCTTTGGAACTGCTTCTTGCATGCATGAGCTGTTTCGGATATTTCGTCTCATGGCCTGGCTTATTTCGTTTCGGCGCTGCTGAGACCTCCTTTCGCGGAATATTACTCAATGACAGGTGAGTTGACCAGTTGCCTTTGATTCATTTGCTTGTGTTGACTCTTTCATTCAGGAAAAGTGTGCTGATTTTGGGGCGGAATGCAATAAATAATGGAAAAGTTGACAGGATCTCTTTTCTAAATTTTGCTTTTCTGCTGCCGAGCTGCGAGGCCTCCTTTTACGGAATACTCGATGACAGGTGATCTCTAAGTTGACCGGTTTCCTTCAATTCATTTGCTTATGTTCACCTTTCATTTACGGAAACGTGTGCTGATTTTATTCGGTTTCAGATCCATTTTTATCTCTTTGCCCTTGTCTGCAGTGTGCGAAGAACGCGAGTTCAACTTCTTGACGGTAAGGCTTATGTTAGATGTGTTGTCGAAATACTCATATTCATTGTACATTGGTACGTTACAAGTAAGGCACTGGTCAGTGGCATACTATCGTTGGCAGTTCCCAATCTGGAGGGAAAGGTTCAAGTACCAATTGACCGAGTTTGCAAAATAAATTCGCATATCAGGGGAAATCTCTATTGTGGAGAGGTTCAGTAACTTGTTTGTTTCATACGAAACAAGCCAATGGGTGCAGTCTCGTCTCGTGAAAATCTCGTACTTGTATGATTGGATTTGTTTACTCAAGTCTGGGCTGTTTGATTTGTGAGTACCGCCGAGATTGCACTGCCTCAAATAAAGTTTCGTGCCGCCAAAGCAAGAATTACGATCTGCAATCTGTTTGTAGTACCTGTAAGAATGTGGAGTACATGTATCGTACTTTCTCTGTTGCTGTTTGAGTTGCCGTCATGTTGCTAAAGAAAGGTTCAGTAGAGAGGTTCTGCAAAACGAAAATTCGAACGAAGTTTCGCGACAGTCCTTGCGAAAGTGTGTGCGAATTTTTGCACGAACTTTGCGTTCTGCACATTTTCGTAGTTTGCGCGGGCCAAGTGCACTTACGCCATGACCCGACCTCACGAAATTTCCTACGACAGTTCATTTCGCGTTCCCTGCAAGTTTCGCGTCCAAAGGTGCGAACTTTCGCACTTCATGATGTAGGGCGAAAGTTTGTACGCATTTTCGTTTTGCAGAATCTCCCTAGTGACTCAATTGTTTCATACGAGACGAGGCAATGAGTTGGTGTGGCTTAGAATCTTTCGCCGTAGAAGAAATCTATTCGTATGTCTATTGGAGATATAATTGTATTCTCCGGTTATAAAATAGGTTAAGCTCACAGAATAAATACCATCGGTCCCTTGGTGTTCGTCCTAAAGAGGTTCGACTGGATATCATTCATACTCACCAAAAGATGTGTAAGATTTTATTATTGTGGAGTGCCTTGTTTATCTCTCAGTACCTCCAACCATAGCCTTGTACCTTTTCTCCTCAGGATCAGTGTAGTTGTTGGAACGAGGTTTTGGACTCAGCAATGTATTCGTTTACATTTTAATACATGTTTATTGTTCCTCCTTTGCTGTGTTGTTTTAGACAATCGTGGACTAACAGTTTGAAGTCATTGAACTACTTCCAAAAGTTGTATCGACATCAACAGGATTACGATTTCAGTTTCAACATGATGCTGGATGACCTTATCACGATAACCCATGACTATAAACCATTATTAACACAGAATCAACAAAAACATTTGCGACACGCACCTGCCGCATGGCTACATTTCTCAAATAAATCTGATTGAGGGTGGAGAAATCTGAAATATCTGAAAGGCAAGACAATTCATGAAATTCTGCAACAGCAACATGCACAGAATGACCTCCGTATAAAAAAAGTATAACCACCATTGCATGCTCACATGTTTACCCGCAGAAGAACATGCATTATGCTAGTGCCATTTTCTGCAAGAAAAGGCTTGCACATCAATGCGTATAATTATGGTATTGATATGATGTGAAGGCCATCATTTACATATTGATATAGGGCATTCCATTGATTGGTGACAGAAAAAACAAAAGAAATTATAGCAATAAAAACTGCTTTATGGCAGTTTTCTAAAAAAAGTTATTGTGTTCTAGTCCATGGACCCCGTCTAAAAAGTAAGAAATTAACGAAATGTGATAGCTGAAAATTAAAATTTCACACAAAACCTCACAATAATCACACACAGAATGAAAAGCTACATGCAGAAGACCTCTTCCCCTCGCGATCCTCTTTCCTATGCATGCATGTTGCCAATTGTTGGTGCAGTACAAGTTTAGTGTTGAAAGCAGGGAGTAGTATTGTACTACTCCCTGGTTGAAAGCAGCATTTCAAGTGTTGTGATTATTGTGAGGTTTTGTGTGAAATTTTAATTTTCAGCTATCACATTTCGTTAATTTCTTACTTTTTAGACGGGGTCCATGGACTAGAACACAATAACTTTTTTTAGAAAACTGCCATAAAGCAGTTTTTATTGCTATAATGGTATTTGACGACTCCCTGGTACATGGTCTAGACGTCTACCACCTGGTCTACTGGTCTACGCGCGCAAGTCAGTACGCAAGTCCGCAAAAAAGAAACATCATACTACAGTCCATTCAGAAAAAAATGAACTTCTAGCTTTTGGCCATAAATGGGTCAAACGTTGAGTTTTTTTAGAATTTTTTTCTGCAATCCCATAATTATGGAATCCTCTTCCAATTATGTTTCTGAAGTTTTTTTGTCCAAAAAGCAAGCCATAGCAAGAATAGGATTTCGGCCAGGTTTTGCCCCAAAAGCACTGAATTGGGAAAAACCATCAAAATCCAGGCCGTTTGACCCCGCCTGCAACAGTGCATTCTGCGGTTCGAACCCCAGTTCAGGCACCCTTTTTGGACCCTTTTCAAATTTCAAAGTTCGCAGCACTGCACTGTGTACGATGAAATCACGAAAAATCGCCAAATACGGGAGCTCGCCAGAGCCAGGACCCATCTTTTTATGAATGGACTGTAACTACGTCATCGAGTCTTCCTTTATAAGCACCACGCAAAATATTGCGAGGAAGACGATGACGACGTCAGGACTTGCCTTTGACTCTAGTCTAGAGCTCTGTCAAAGAAATTTTGATTTCTCATTTCTTTCTTGCTCTCTCTCTCTAGCTCTCTCGTCTCTTTGTCCAATTTTGGAGGCTGCGGAGAGCTTCCACATTCTGTTACTGTCTTCATGAGGTGTTCTGCGCTATGGAATATTATAGCATGGCCTCCGAAAGGAAGTCATTTCCTGGCTTCCAGTCTGACAAACGAATAACTGTCAACAGTCAACCGACGAGCTTGAATCTTTACGAATGGAGTAGTGAGCCCGGAGACGTGGATTGGGAGTCTTTCAACAATTTGTTGGTAGTGCACCCGAAGAACTTGACAGTGATAAAAGCTGGACGCTCTCGCAGAGCACTCGAATACCCTGAGGACGGGACTGCTTACACCGAAGAATGTTTAGGCCCGTCGTTCGGACTTGGCAGCGCTCCTGTGTACTTTATCAGCGAGGAGGGTGTAGTGGTGGACTACAGACCAGATGTGGCTGATCCAGAGGAAGAACGGGCTCGTCCCGCAAAGCTGCAGCGAATTTGCAGTAAATATATTGCGAGGACGATTCCGTTTGCTGGCGTGGAGCAGGTAAGATGGTATATGGATTGTCCAAACTACATACCATATACATGCAGTCAACTTTGAGAATTACGACACTCGGCGGGGCATCAGAAAAGTGTCCTTATTCGCGAAGTGTCCTTATACCCGAAGTCCCATTTGAATGTATGTGAACCCATATTTTGTATTGTATGCCATGTGTATGAAAATGAAGCTCTTTTCATGCTCTATGTCAATTAGGGACTGGCGGATAATGCTCGGCGAAAGAAGCAATTCTGCTGTTCAGTCTGCTCAAAATTCTGCTCGTAGGATATGGGGTTCTGCTGATTTTTCTGCTCATCCGGTTGCATATCATTCTACATATATTTATATAAATGGAATGCGAACAAAGCTATGTCCAGATTAGTAGCAAGGCAAAGAAACGATCTACGACTATTATCATAAGACTTGCTCAAACATGCATGCATGCACAGTGAGTACCATCATAAAGTGGCAATTGCAAAATGGAACCAAACGATTAGTCAGAGCATAATGGAACAAGAATATGGATTGTTACAGCATCTTCCTCTAGAATGTCTAAGTCTGAAAGGCTGCTGAAGTCATTGCTGCCATCTCGCACGAGATCGTCCTCGTCCATGGCTGCAACTAAATTACAAGGAAAATGCAAAAGTTTTCTTGAAAATTTGAGGAGCCACCATCTTCAATGCGTGGTACATCGCGTGAGTGCTGAAACGGACATTGCACTTTGACCTCTGTACTGAAGTACAGTGGCGGATCCAGGATTTGGCCGAAGAGGGGGCCCAAGGTATCCCCCCCCCCAAACAAAACAAAACAACAAAGTCCTGAAGTTGTGAAGAGCTGCTGTATTCCATTCTCACGACATTTTCAAACTGCACTGGAAGTGTTGTCAAGCTGTGGTGTAACTCAGGCATTAGGGCGACACTACTCTACTACTAGCAGGTATGTGTATGTTACAAAGTTACCACAAATATACATGTAATATTCCGTCGCTGGAACAGTGCTACTCTCAGTGGGCTTGGCGTGCGAAACCGGAGATCCAGGCAGAGAACTGTCACTGGAGGAATGACTTGAAATGACTTCCCATTCAGGAGCAGGTTCTGATAATGTCGCAAGTGCAGGAACATTTCCACTCGGCAGTGGCTGCGACGGACCTTTGGACGGCTCTTCAACGCGAGCTCTCTTATCTACCGGTCCACTGAAGAACGACCTGATGTCAGACCCTTTCCTCTTCATCGCATATCTGAAGGTAACCCGTTGGCTACACGCGAAGTAGAGAGAGAGAGAGCGTTTAGTTTCTGACAAGTGAAAAAGAAAAAGGAAGGACGAAGCCGACAGCACCGTGCACCGTACAGGACTTCAGCCCAACGCGATCGCTGCACTAGCTGCACTTTGTACCAGGCCCTCCATTTTTGGCACGTTTTTCACATGTTTGAAGTGCGGCCGTGTCCTCATCATGCTCAGGCCGCAGTGCGTACAGTATACTACCGGTTGTACACAGCGTGCTGACTAGTGCGTGACACCGGACGGATAAGTACCCAGCACGCGTGACCCACTTGACACGCCAAGTCATTTCGAGCGCTCAGACTACAGTCTACTGTAATCCTAGACCAAGGTCGAAATTGTCAAAGGGGGGGGCCCAGGCCCCCTGGGCCCCCCCCTGGATCCGCCACTGAAGTACAGCACAAAGTCAAACGCCAGCGCCTGCCACTTGTACTGTGGCTTGCGGATCGGACGTAGCACAGGTGCCGGAGCTCACGAGGTGAGTGGCTAGTACCAGCAGCTTGCATGGCGAATACTAACCTAGTCTAACGGGCGATGGTCCGTCAGAATGTGGAAGCATCGGCCTTCCAGGTGATGCCGGAAATGCTTTACTGCCAGGTACGCAGCTAGCAATTCTCGACCGAACGTGCTGTAGCGGCTCTGAGCTGGTTGCATTCGTTTGGAAAAGAAAGCGAGCGGCTGCCATGCCCCATCAACAAGCTGTTGAAGGGCCCCGCCCACTCCGACATCTGATGCATCCACAACGAGCTGGAGGGGTGCATCCGGGATGGGGTGGATGAGCAGCGTTGCTGCAGCAAGCGCGTCCTTGGCAGCATGGAATGCCGTGACAGCGGCAGTGCCAAGTTTCAGGGGACAGTTCTTCGGACGCTGAGGTCCACCAAGCAGATCCGTCAGTGGTTGGAGGATGTCGGATGCCTGGGGAATAAAGCGCCAGTAAAAGTTGACCATGCCCAGAAACTCGCGAAGCTGGCGGCGAGATGTTGGAAGGGAGTACTGAGCCACGCCGTCGACTCTTGCCGGTAGCGGGCTGATGCCCTGGGCGTTAACCAGATGGCCCAGAAACGTCAGGGACGGCTGGCCGAAACCGCACTTAGCGGGGTTGATCACCAAACCATGCTGCTGCAGGCGCTCAAACACCAGGCGCAGATGTTACAGGTGCGTAGCGTGGTCGGAGCTGGCGATTAGGAGGTCATCGAGGTAGACGTAGCAGAAATCCAGGCCATGCAATACTGAATCGATAAACCGCTGGAATGACTGTGCCGCGTTCCGGAGGCCGAAGGGCATCCTGATGAACTCAAATAACCCGAACGGAGTCGTGATGGCAGTCTTGGGAATGTCGGCCGGGGTTACTGGTATCTGGTGATACGCTCTGACCAGATCCAGTTTCGAAAACACTGTAGCACCATGGAGACTGCTGGTGAAATCCTGAATATGAGGAATCGGATACCGATCCGGTTCGGTGACTTTATTCAGGAGTCGGTAGTCTCCACATGGCCTCCAGTCTCCATTGGGTTTAGGAACCATGTGGAGAGGGCTGGACCAGGGCGAGGAGGATGGCCGAATGATGCCCAGGGGCAGCATATGCTGGAACTCAGCTCTGGCCGTTACCAGGCGGTCTGGAGCCAGCCGACGAGTGCGGGCATGCAGTGCCGGGCCGGTAGTCGCAATATGGTGCTCCACCGAGTGCTTGACCGGCAGGTCATAACAGCATGGTTTGGTGAGGCTTGGGAACTCGGCAAGCAGGTCGGTGAATGCTGGTGCTGTGGCCACCGGGGCGGAAACCAAGGAGCAGCTGAGCGATGCGGTTTCGGCAGGAATGCAATTGACCTGGAGGTCAGTGGAGTTGTCACGGATGGTGCGTCCATGAAGGTCGACTTGGAGACTGAACCGATGGAGGAAATCAGCCCCCAGGATCGGCTCCTTCACGTCAGCAACGACAAATATCCAAGGGAATGTTCGTCTAAGACCAAGGTCAAGGGTCAAACACCTCTGCCCGAAAGCCGGAATAGCAGAGCCATTAGCAGCACGGAGCTGACACTGACCAGTCGGATCGACGTGGTGGCGGTGTTCAGTAGTGGCTGGCAGCAGGCTGACGTCAGCACCGGTATCCACTAGGAAACGGGTTCCGCTGGTGACGTCACGGACATAGAGGCGGCGGGAGGTAGGTGGGCTAGACGCAGGAGCCGCTACTGGCTGGCCGGGGCATTTCCTGACGACCAGGAGCACGGGGCTTCACACCGCCGGGCTTGCACACCAAACTTGCGGTGAAAATGGCAAAAACCACTGCTATGCGGTGAGACCGAGCGACTGCGGGGTTGGCCGCGGAAGCGAGGGCGGCCGTGCTGCTGTTTCAGCTCGGTTACAGTAGTCGTCAGGGCGGCAACTTGGTCCCGGAGAGCTGCAATGGCAGCCATTGTCTCTGACTCGCCAGTGTTGCGAACTGCATGTACTGCCGCACTGGGACCAGCTGCCTCCACTATTCTGTCAGCCATTTCTGCCAGATCCTGCAGCGGCAGTGATGCAGGGCAGGATGCTACTATTGACTTGGCCGATCGGGGCAACCGGCTGACAAACAGCTCTCGCAAAAGTTTTTCGGGCATGGCGTTCTCACCTACTAACTGCTGTAGCTTGCGTAATAGCTGGGTAGGCTTCTTGTCGCCCAGCTCCTCGTCCGAAATCAGCAGGCGCAAACGCTGCTGTTCTGACATCTGCGTGCGGCGAATGAGACGCTCGCGGAGAGCGTCGTACGGCTGTTGAGCAGGAGGATCCAGGATGATGTCACGCACCTCTGCCGCATACTCTGGTGTCAGTGATCCCACCACGTACTGATATTTGGTCACCTGGCTGGTGATGCGACGGGTGGAAAACAGGGATTCAACCTGTGCGAACCAAACCTGGGGGTCAGCAGCCCAGTAAGGTGGTAGCTTGACGTTCAAGCTGACCGCGGCCACCTCACTGTCGCGGGCTGTACCGCCTGCTGCGGTAGTTCTAGCGCCCGTGATTCTGGACAGCAGTTGGCCACGACCTACGCTGCGGATAGGTGTGCTAGCTCCGGAGTTTGAGGTATTCATACTGTACTAGTGCTCGTAAAATACTAAAATTCAATGCTGCGTGCAGACCACTGAGCGATCGCGAGTGATCGAACACTAGACGGGGTCACCAATTGTAGCAGTGCGCTACGTAATTCTATACAAAAGTCTGGATTCGTGAATTTAGAACTAACTTCGAACGATTGAATCTGGTGTCATAACGAGAGAGCTTGGAAGCTCAGGGCCCTACGCTATGCTTTTTTGCCTTGATGACCTAGACAAAAAAAAGCATAGGGATGTTATAAATTCTTTAAAAAAATCCGTTTTTTAAGACATAACCTGGGATTCGAACCCGCACTATCGCGCGCCCTGCATGCATCCCCCGATACACTTCGCATACATACTAATCCTTCAAAGTTGTTTCACATTGTGATCTTGCATTTGAAAGCCCTATTTGAATATGCATTGTGGCCAGCCGTCTTTGATGGCACGGTACGGTAGGGGATAGGTACGGGACAGGTACGATCGAGGGTAATACGACACCGTCTCCCGTACCGTACCATCAAACACAGCTGGCGCATACAGTTGCCCGCAATATTCAAATAGGGCTTTCAAACGCAAGATAATAACGTGAAGCAACTTGGAAGAATGGGTATGAATGCGAAGTGTATGGGGGAATGCATGTAGGGCGATTGTGCGGGTTCGAATCCCAGGATACGCCTGAAAAAAATAGGAGAATTGAAAAATTTATAACATCCTATGCTTTTTTGCCGTCAGATACGGATAGCGCCAGGCGTGACACAAACAAACAAACACACAAACAAACAAATACCAAATTAAAGCTGTGTGGACCCTGGCTAGCGCCAGACGTTACTGAAGTAACGTCTTCTGCATAGCTACGGGAATTAATGTTACTTTGTAGATTACAGAGAGGACAGAAACATTACTGTTCGGCTCACAACCAGAGAGAGAGAGAGAGAGAGAGAGAGAGAGAGAGAGAGAGAGAGAGAGAGAGAGAGAGAGATAATGGAAGCAAGGCAAGGAGCGGCGAATTCTGCTCGCCTGCTGAATACGGTGTACGGTACAACTATACCAAAAGGGAAGGCCAGCGGCGCACTGGAATCTAGTTGTACACAGCTGTAGTACGCATGCAAATAAGGATAATACGGTGCGGAAGTGAACGGCGCATGCTGATATGGCAAAGCGGTCGTAATACATATAAGTGTGACTGCGAGACCGGAGAATTTCATGAAGCCAATAATATGAGAATTTCATTGAAACCGAAGTAAATCAGGTCATGTGACCGAGAATCCGCTACAAAACTTCTTCAGCTGAGCACCCTCACAGCTCGCACAATGCGCTCCATTCTGATTTTCACCCACGTTCTGGCGGAACGTGGGCGAGCCTCCATACACTGTATGTTGTGAATCAGAAAACGTCTGTATGTGCTTACTACGTGGGTCACGGAGTATCACGTGGTACACACACGTAAAGTACTCACGGATTACGTGGGACTAAACCTCCCAAATTTCAAACGAGCGAGTATTCGAAATTTTGCACTCGATCCTTTTTTTCTTTTTCTTTAGTATTGACATTCTATTTTTTGACAAAAGCTTTTGTTGTACCGCTCGGCCAATTGCACTGGTATAGTATTTTATGACTTGGACGATGCGATCACCACGGCAAGTAACGTTAGTTAGTCCTGAGATATGAAAGTGCTGATGAAAATCATTACTTTACACTCTGTACAAGACGTTGGCGACTTTTGTTCTATGTTCACAGATAATTTCTTCCGAATTGGTCGAGAACTCACAAATCTAGCGCTTTTTGAATTTTGATAAAATACTCAAAATAATCAGATACTCGATCGAACATTTATATGAATGAGTGATCGATTGGTCAAAATAGATACTCGTTTCACCCCTAAAAAATAATCAGCATGCGATTTTGAGCATTTTGACATACATATCAGTGCATGGGGCTGCATTTGGATAATTCGAAGTTCCGGATAATTCGAAGTTGGGACGTGGCAATTTGAGGTTGGAATTAAAGGGAGTCTACCTGTACCTGTAACTCGGCAAAACTAAAAGTTCACGGCTCTGATGCATACCGTGGTGCCGGGATTGGCCCAAAATTAGCGGACTACGTCATTGCAGTGTGCGTTTGTACAAAGCTGTGTAAGTTCGTGCGACCGTGCAATGCGCAGACTGTATGCAAGAAGGCCAGTGACATCATGGAGATGATACAGTCCACCATGAATTCCGCCAATGCAGGTCGGATCACCAGGGTTGTGTACTCTGTGGGTTTAAAATATGTATTTTTGATAATGTGCATAGCAAGAACTACTAGTAGTACTTAGTCTCCGGAGCTGTTTCAACCGTGTTAGGTCTCCTCAGCAGATCTCGGTTTGTGTGACCTCCACAGCATAATATGATGGCCGATGCCACATACACCATTATAGGAACTAGCACATGTAGCAGCACTATGTAACGTCAGCCATCACATCAGTACATGTACTAGTACTAGTATGTAGCATCAGCCATCATATCAGCACATTGTATGTAGTATCAAGCATCATATCAGTACATGTATCATGTGTATGGCGTGAGACCGACAGCACAGGTGATGTATGTCAAATTCGCGGTACTACATGTATGTGCTATAGGAAGCGTCATTCAGCATTCAATGCAACTACCCACTTCAAATGGTGTTGTCGCTTTATCTGTCTTCTCCTCCATGATAATTTCAGCCCACATTGCTATCCAAGTTTGACTAAAAAGTGGCACGGGGTGCTATGCTAGCCCTGATTCACAGCCTATGCATGGTGGATGTCTTTAGACTTGCCCGGGCATGTTTCCGGGACATCTTGTTGCAGTACCCCCACCCTGTGTACGTAGTATCAGCATCCGTTAATAAATCACCCGTCTCTCTTTCTGCTGGTGTTTGTTTTTCTGTCATTACTGCCGTGTTGATTTCTTTTCGGTGAACAGATTTTACCAAAGCTATCACTGGATTGCCAGTCCATGTTGATGAGGTACTCTTTCCCAATGTCTCTGAGAAAGATACATGACTACTGTTGCTTGTCCACTGGCGATGATAAAATGTTCAAGGATGGAATGCAGCGTTATCATCTAGGGTTTGTGTTCAACGTTCAGCAAATAGGTAAGCACATATTGCCAATTGATAGCAGCTCACCAGTATACAATGCATTATTCAACTTACTAATACCGCTGTAGAAGGTGTATTTTGTGCATATAATATAGGCACTAAAAGAAAAGGCTTCTGTGCTGATTCATTGCTAGTAATTTGCTACAGTTCAGTAATACTGAAGTGTACACCCCGTACGTCAAGCTTTTAAAGTGTGGGCGCCATGTGTGTGATAATGCTCTCCACCTCTGAATGGCATCAGCGCGGTTGTTGGCATCCACACTCTACTCTCAATAGTTCTTGCTGCAAAGCAATGGAAATAAATGAGTGTAACAAATATAAATCAGCGCTGGTATGGGAGCAAATGATCTGTGCACACGACTATGTGTGTGTGTGTGTGTGTGTGTGTGTGTGTGTGTGTGTGTGTGTGTGTGTGTGTGTGTGTGTGTGTGTGTGTGTGTGTGTGTGTGTGTGTGTGTGTGTGTGTGTGTGTGTGTGTGTGTGTGTGTGTGTGTGTGTGTGTGTGTGTGTGTGTGTGTGTGTGTGTGTGTGTGTGTGTGTGTGTGTGTGTGTGTGTGTGTGTGTGTGTGTGTGTGTGTGTGTGTGTGTGTGTGTGTGTGTGTGTGTGTGTGTGTGTGTGTGTGTGTGTGTGTGTGTGTGTGTGTGTGTGTGTGTGTGTGTGTGTGTGTGTGTGTGTGTGTGTGTGTGTGTGTGTGTGTGTGTGTGTGTGTGTGTGTGTGTGTGTGTGTGTGTGTGTGTGTGTGTGTGTGTGTGTGTGTGTGTGTGTGTGTGTGTGTGTGTGTGTGTGTGTGTGTGTGTGTGTGTGTGTGTGTGTGTGTGTGTGTGTGTGTGTGTGTGTGTGTGTGTGTGTGTGTGTGTGTGTGTGTGTGTGTGTGTGTGTGTGTGTGTGTGTGTGTGTGTGTGTGTGTGTGTGTGTGTGTGTGTGTGTGTGTGTGTGTGTGTGTGTGTGTGTGTGTGTGTGTGTGTGTGTGTGTGTGTGTGTGTGTGTGTGTGTGTGTGTGTGTGTGTGTGTGTGTGTGTGTGTGTGTGTGTGTGTGTGTGTGTGTGTGTGTGTGTGTGTGTGTGTGTGTGTGTGTGTGTGTGTGTGTGTGTGTGTGTGTGTGTGTGTGTGTGTGTGTGTGTGTGTGTGTGTGTGTGTGTGTGTGTGTGTGTGTGTGTGTGTGTGTGTGTGTGTGTGTGTGTGTGTGTGTGTGTGTGTGTGTGTGTGTGTGTGTGTGTGTGTGTGTGTGTGTGTGTGTGTGTGTGTGTGTGTGTGTGTGTGTGTGTGTGTGTGTGTGTGTGTGTGTGTGTGTGTGTGTGTGTGTGTGTGTGTGTGTGTGTGTGTGTGTGTGTGTGTGTGTGTGTGTGTGTGTGTGTGTGTGTGTGTGTGTGTGTGTGTGTGTGTGTGTGTGTGTGTGTGTGTGTGTGTGTGTGTGTGTGTGTGTGTGTGTGTGTGTGTGTGTGTGTGTGTGTGTGTGTGTGTGTGTGTGTGTGTGTGTGTGTGTGTGTGTGTGTGTGTGTGTGTGTGTGTGTGTGTGTGTGTGTGTGTGTGTGTGTGTGTGTGTGTGTGTGTGTGTGTGTGTGTGTGTGTGTGTGTGTGTGTGTGTGTGTGTGTGTGTGTGTGGTGTGTGTGTGTGTGGTGTGTGTGTGTGTGTGTGTGTGTGTGTGTGTGTGTGTGTGTGTGTGGGGTGTGGGTGTGTGTGTGTTTGGGGGGGGGGGGGGGGGGGGGGGGGGGGGGGGGGGGGGGGGGGGGGGGGGGGGGGGGGGGGGGGGGGGGGGGGGGGGGGGGGGGGGGGGGGGGGGGGGGGGGGGGGGGGGGGGGGGGGGGGGGGGGGGGGGGGGGGGGGGGGGGGGGGGGGGGGGGGGGGGGGGGGGGGGGGGGGGGGGGGGGGGGGGGGGGGGGGGGGGGGGGGGGGGGGGGGGGGGGGGGGGGGGGGGGGGGGGGGGGGGGGGGGGGGGGGGTGTTTTTTGAATGGAGAGAAATACAGATTAAAGAGCGTAGGCGCCAGTGTGCAGCCCTGATGCAAGCCATTCCGGACGACGTTAGGGAGCCGAACACGCGCCTCCATGCCTTCATGGAGCGACTGGACAAGGCCAAGCAGCTTCGGAGGAATGCCCAGATTGCGGAGCACAAGCCACAAAGCAGACCGCGGAATTGAATCATAGGCCTTGCGCAGATCGACGAAAAGCACATATAGCTCAGAATCGTGCTCCACTGCCTTCTCCATCAGTTGTCTTGCGGTGAATACCATGTCACTGCAGCCACGGCCCCTGCGGAATCCGCACTGGGAATCCGGCAGAACATCCTCTGCCACCGCCTGCAGGCGACCCTGAAGAACACGAGCAAAGACCTTGCCGACCACATCCAGGAGGCTGATGCCACGCCAGTTATCGCAGGACCGTAAGTCACCTTTCTTGGGGATAGGGACGATCTCTGCATCATCTGCATCTGCATCTCTGATCTCGATCAGTCTTCTGTTCCGGGTGTACGGGTCCGCTACCGTGTCGGCAGGATGCTTGTTGGGGATCGGACCGCCAAGTCTCGACTGGCCTCCACTGACGTCACAGAGTCCCAGTTTGCTGATGACGCGGCTCTCTACACCACCTCTTTGAGCCACCTGGAGACGATGACAAACGAGTTTGTGTCCTGTGCTTCGGGTTGGGGTCTAACTGTGAGCGTCCAGAAGACCAAGGCCATGGCGGTGAACTGCTCTCACCCGCCACCTTCCATTGATCTTCAGGATGGAGGAAGCGTGGAGGTTGTGGACAGCTTTACCTATCTTGGCAGTGTCCTGAGTGCAGACGGTGCTCTGGACAAGGAGCTCACCTCCCGTCTTGCCAAGGCCTCTCGTGCTTTTGGCGCTCTCCAAAAGCCAATCTTCGGGTGTAGCGGCCTATCCATTAAGTCTAAGCGTCTTGTCTACAAGGCCATTGTCCTCCCTACCCTCTTCTATGGAGCAGAGACTTGGCCCATGAAGGCCCGGCAGATGAATCGCCTGAATCTGTTTCATCGCTCATGCGTCCGTTCCATCTTGGGAGTCTCAAGGAACGATCAGCACTCCCGTCATCTTAATACTGCTGATCTAGCCCAGAGAGCGCGTCTTCCTGAGGACATTGGCGCTCTCCTGCGTGAGTACCGTCTGCGTTGGCTGGGTCATGTTGCCCGTATGGACGCGGCCCGGATTCCTCAACAAGTGTTGTTTGGTGAGCTCGAAGCAACCAGACCACGGCATGGGCCAAAGAAGCGTTGGCGAGACACGATTGTCGGTGATCTGCGCTCGCTGGATATTCCGGAGTCCGAGTGGTATCGGCTCGCACAAGATCGCCCGGAATGGCGCAGGCGGGTTCATCAACATCGTCTTCCTCCCCCGGCACCGAAGGACTTTCATTGCGCATGCGGCAGAGCGTTTAGGAGAAGTGGCGATTTGAAGCGTCACATCAAGTACTGCCCAACTCAGTAGCCTATCATCTCCACTGGAGATGGGGCGTCAAAGGTCAAAGGTGTGTGTGTGTGTGTGTGTGTGTGTGTGTGTGTGTGTGTGTGTGTGTGTGTGTGTGTGTGTGTGTGTGTGTGTGTCACTGTGTGTGTGTCACTGTGTGTGTGTGTGTGTGGGTGTGGGTGTGGGTGTGTGTGTGTGTGTGTGTGCATGTGTGCGCACTGGTATGCCTGTCTCTGATTGCCTAGCTGGTTGTCTCTTTCTCTTCTTGTGCAGGGCTGTACGTACTGGGTGAAGTGAAATCCTCAAGCCCGGGTGCGTCTCCAACTTGCAGGGAACATGTGAGTACAGCCTTTAGCTTCAGCAGCAACTACCTGGTTTGAATTATTTTTCCATCGTTCTTGCTCACTTCGCGCATTTCTCTTTTTCCCCTTTTAGACTGTTTTACATTGTTTCTATTGCTTGACTCTGTACAATAACGTAATCCGATGTCAATTCAGAAGTGTAGTGAATAGCAATGCGAATTAAGTTGTGGCCATCTGCCCAAAATACTTCTGAAGTACACACTGTATATTTAAAAGTTTTGATACCCAATGCTGTAGACAGCAAGCTGTTTCGGCCATAAAGGCCTCATCAGTACAGCTACGAGCTACATATATATATTCTTTTATTCCACGATGGCGTGACGCCAATAAGGATGATTAATAAGTGCGATAGAACTGGTACTAGCCAGAAACAGCTAGATGGAAATTAACCGGGAGGCAAGAAGCAATGGATCATGAAAAACAAGCGGGGGCAATAATGTTAGCAGGGGTGATCGAGATAGTTAAGTACACGTTCGAGATATCAGAAACCAGGGGGATGCGCGGAGCAGGAGCAGGTACTGCTCAAAAGAAGACTGGATGCATTGTTTCGGAAAGAATTTCTACGAGGTTGGGTTGTGATGTCGATAGGGAGTGAGTTGTAGAGGGTGAGGGCACTGTTGATGGGGGAGTCTCGGTGCCTGTTCGTGTGTGCGTGTCCGATGGAGTAGGTCCTTGTCTGTCGAAGGGTGTATGGTTGGTGTTGACGTTGTGGTGCAAGATGTGGTTGTTGCAGGTGTGGTGGGGAGGTTTGGTGGTGGATGTCCCATGCTAGTAGGGCTTGTTTAACAAGGAGTCGTGAGCTAAGGGTGGGGAGCTTTGCGTGATGGAGGAGGGAGCTGTGGTGAACTGGTGCAAAGAGGGGAATCCGAAGGCAGATGCGTATAGCACGGCGTTGAATTCTCTCCAGTGTGTCCCGCTGTTGCTGTGTGGTGTTCGAGAGGGCAAGGCTGCCATATTCGAGAACGGGTCGGATGTAGGTTGTGTATATTAACAATAGGCTGGAAGCGTTCATTGTGCCGCGTGTCTTGTGGAGTTGGTGTAGTAGTTTTTTGGCTTTGTTGGTGGTTTCTATGATGTGTTGGGTCCATCGCAAATCGTCTTGGAGTGTAACACCAAGGTGCCTATGTTGGTGGACCTGCTGCAGCCGAGTCGAGTGGAGCGTGATGTGGATGGTGTGTTGGGGTTGGAAGGAAAGGACGACGGTTTTCGTGGTGTTGACGAGGAGATGCCAATCCTTCAACCATCGTCCTGCTGCGTCCACGGCACGTTGGAGGAATGCAGCTGACAAATCCCTCGTGTAATGCGTCGCGATGAGTGCCGTGTCATCGGCGAACTGGCTGCATTTAGTGTGAGAGTTTGTACATGCTGGGGGGAGGTCGATCGTGTACACCAGGAAAAGAAGAGGCCCCAGGACAGAGCCCTGGGGTACTCCAGCTGGAATGGATTTCCATGATGACAAAGCGGAGCCAACCTTGACGCGTTGTCGGCGGCGAGTCAGGTAGCTTGTGAGCCAGGTAAGGGCAATGCCACGGACACCAAGGTGCTCGAGTTTGGCCAGGAGGCCAGCATGCCAGACTCGGTCAAAAGCCTTTGACACAACATAGGCCGAACTACCAGCCATGGTGCAAAGGAGGCACCACAGACATTAAGATAGCTCGTCGCTCTTGAATTTCGATCAGAAGACACTTAATGTGTTGCTTGGTACGCGACAAAGGACAATCCTATCAGTGGCCTCGCATGGATGCCGGTATAGCTTGCTGTCTACAGCATTGGGTGAATACCGGTATATCAAGTTTCTGTTATCTTTGCTAACTTACCAGTACAAAATGGCATAGACCAGGGTCCTAGATACCGCAATAGTGGCTGTAATCAGGAGTACTGTCCTACGGCCTCCCTCCTTGTCTCATAAGCGGTCAAAGATTCTCGCTATAAAGATAGTGTCAGGAATCCAACATACTAGTAATCATCCTGTTGTCCAACACTGCTTCATTCCCGAAGTGATGGCATCAGCATCAGCAACGGCATTGGATGGTGCTTACTTAGCATGTGCTAGTCCATGATATCTCTATCTTCACTTCCATTGTTCTAGTCCATGATATCTCTAACTTCACTTCCATTACTCTAGTCCATGATATCTCTAACTTCACTTCCATTACCCATGAGCGGAGAGTGCAATATTTAGTTTTTTGGAGTGACTATGGTTTATACATGTAGTTAGGTGCTCTGGGTTGGAAAAGACTCGAAGAAAGAGTTATTGTATTGGACCCTAGTGGTGTACTGCTGCTGAGAATGGGATGGACAGCTTTTGATGATTCTCTAGTATTCTGCATATGCTCCTTGTGGCATTCTCTATTCTCTTATCCACATTTGTTCGTTTCCTTCCACTTGTCGTCTGTGCACAGGTGACTGTGGTGTGTGCTGAACAAGTTATCTGCGAATCACAATGCACCTGTTGCAATTCTAAGAAGAAGAAAGAGCAGAAGACAATGTGGTGTGAACATATCGTTGCCGTCTGCGCCTTTCGGATCATGCGTGCCGACACTGTCACCGTTGCCGCGCCGTTTTCCGAGAGCCTGCCCCACCTCAACACATTGCATGTTAGTTGGGAACACCGCATGTGCTGTTGTTGTTGTTGTTGTTGTTGTTGTTGTTGTTGTTGTTGTTGTTGTTGTTGTTGTTGTTGTTGTTGTTGTTGTTGTTGTTGTTGTTGTTGTTGTTGTTGTTGTTGTTGTTGTTGTTGTTGTTGTTGTTGTTGTTGTTGTTGTCTCTCTCTCTCTCTCTCTCTCTCTCTCTCTCTCTCTCTCTCTCTCTCTCTCTCTCTCTCTCTCTCTCTCTCTCTCTCTTTCTCTCTCTCTCTTTCTCTCTCTCTCTCTCTCTTCTCTCTCTCTCTCTCTCTCTCTCTCTCTCTCTCTCTCTCTCTCTCTCTCTCTCTCTCTCTCTCTCTCTCTCTCTCTCTCTCTCTCTCTCTCTCTCTCTCTCTCTCTCTCTCTCTCTCTCTCTCTCTCTCTCTCTCTCTCTCTCTCTCTCTCTCTCTCTCTCTCTCTCTCTCTCTCTCTCTCTCTCGTTCCCCAGGAGAGGTGCACTCCAGCTCATTTGCAAACCTGAACCCCAAAGCCAAACCCCTGTGGCTGTATGCCTGATCCCATAGCATGTTCTCTCAACACAGTTAGTATTTCTTTGCTACAAAGCCGCCAGGATGTTTGTCAAATTTTCAGGCATGGCCCTATCCTAAGTGTGAATCGCGGAAAACTGAAATCTCTTCTTGGAAGCTTAGCAAGGTAGAGCCATTGACTGTGTGCAATTGAGAGAGTATTCCAGTGATTTGATTGACTTTATTTTGTTGGCTTACTATAGCAGACGTCTGGGTACTGTAAAATCGGGAATTTTCGATGGTGTAGTATTTCGGTATTTCCCTAAATCAATGGTTCGGTAGCGCGAAAATGTCGGTAAACCAGCCGTACTGCAGTCGGCGTGCATGCACGTATATTTTCGGTGCGTTTTATTTTAGGTAAAATTGTTGGCACCGAAGTTACCGAAAATAAAACTCCACTGGCAATTTCTGCTTTTACAGTAAAACAAATAGAGCCTCTGAGTTTGTTGCCATTTGTTGTTGTTTTTGTTCAGCTCATGCAAATACTTCAGTTTCTCATCCAGGACGGCGATTCTCAGTTTCTTGCAAAAGTTCAGAAGTTAGTAACACAAGTAAAGACCGCTAGCTCAGCAATTGCAGAATGTGCTGGTGTGCCGGGTAAGTGGGATGTCTCATCATGGACTGTATGGGTTGGGATGTCTCGTCATGGGCTGTATGCGTTCACGTTTGTACATGTTGTATTGGCGTGCGTGTGTGTGTGTGTGTGTGTGTGTGTGTGTGTGTGTGTCCAGCAAGTGTAGGGTGTGCATAGGTAACTGTCTTGGCCGTTTTATGCTGATGTACTCCGTGTGGTGGAGACCAGGTGTACATTGGTGGTCGATTCACATGGCTTCGCAGGTTGTGTGGATTAGACAGTTACATGTATCTGGCGCTAGTCTTGATCTGTCTCATGCAGATCTTGCCCGCTATCGTTGCTATAAGAGAAAATCTGTGGGTGCACATCCAGTGCATTTGCAGATTTGCGTGCTTCTCTTGCGACGGACGTATACATTGTACATGGTGTGTGCGTGTGTGTGCGTGCGTGTGTGTGTGTGTGTGTGTGCCGATTGAACATGGTCCCTGATCTCTCGGCAGACTGCCGATTTTCTGGCGCCGCTCGTCGTTTCCATGTTGCCGGCCACGCAAGAGGACACGTGACCGTAATGGCATTGTTTACCAGGACCAGGTGTGTGCGTGTGTGTGTGTGTGTGTGTGTGTGTGTGTGTGTGTGTGTGTGTGTGTGTGTGTGTGTGTGTGTGGTTTCTTCCACTATACTAATGTGTTGTTGTTGTTCCTGTGTTCTCCTGAGCAGATAAGACATCCGGTCCGATAGATCCTGACTGCATCCGTTGGAGTATGGACTCTGACAGTCTGCGTTCTCGCCTAGTCAAGGCTGTGCATGATATGTGCAAGTTGATCAATTGCAAGGAAAATTCTCCCCAGCTTACCAGCCACCTTGTCGATTATCCTGGCACCGTGGTGAAGTTCCACACCTTGTGCACCTCGGTAGGTCTGCCTTGACACTGCACATGTTCCCAATCTGTGTATACTTAGAGTCACCATTCATGCGCGCCTGGAGTATAGCATGTCTGCCGTATGTTTCCGGTGATAGGTCGATCTTTTATGACCTAACACCCGAATTAACAAAGGGGTAGGCAAGTTACAACCGGAGTTAAACCGCTATTAATCATTATTGATGTTGATTATTGAGCCTGTAAATCGAGTCCCCAAGTATTGGGGGTCGACTTATAATTGGTAAAATCCAGTCCATGTATTTGATTTCCTTGTACACGTACCATTCACTGAGCGCTTCACTGATGGAATACATGTTTTCTTCTTCATATGGTTCTCACAGGGTCTCGAATATTTTGGTCTGGGCTTCTATTATGACATTACATCTTCACACGAAAAACCCCGACAGCCACATGGTTTATGGTATGTGCTGCGAGTAGTCAAGCACCTACTGGCAGATGGAATGTCGAATAGCATTGAGGTATTGCAATGTATGACAGAGGCCATTGTTGAAAACCCCAAGTTTTGGCTCATCTGGGAGGCCGGAATGCACGGCTTTCACGCCAAGCACACCCTGCAAGAGTAAGTATATGTACTGCTGCTGCTGCTGCTCAGATAAGGCTGCTGCTGCTGATCGCCTCGCTGCTGCTGTTGCTATTGTTGCCATTGTTGCTATTGCTCACCACCTTGCTACTCATTGTGCACTAAGGTGTTGTGAGTTATTCACAACGTCTCTGTGAAACACACGCGGGGCCACACAGTCTCTGTGAAACACACGCGGGGCCACACAGTCTCTGTGAAACACACACGGGGCCACACAGTCTCTGTGAAACACACACGGGGCTACACAGTCTCTGTGAAACACACACGGGGCCACACAGTCTCTGTGAAACACACACGGGGCCACACAGTCTCTGTGAAACACACACGGGGCTACACAGTTTTTTTATTACCGTAAAGTACCGTTGATCCGCCCCTCTCTAATTCCCGCCCCCTGCCGATTTTCTATCTGTGAAGCGACTTTGGCGTATACAACGAAATGCGATGTGGAACCGGCGCTTGCACTGCTATACACAATATGTGCCAATCCAGGATGGAAATGGGCACAATCCAGCACATTGAGTCTGATCCTCCACATTGTTGTACATCGTACTGCACTTGACAGCCTTGATCTAATTCCCGCCCCCTGCCGAAAATCCAGCTTGGAAGCGACATGGCGTGGGGCGGCGGATCAACGGTATTTTACGGTAGTGATTTAGTTATGAAACGGCTGTGCTGAATTTTCTTTCGTCCGTTCGGTAGTAGCAATAGAATAAATAAAACCATCACTTCGAATTTTCAGGGTACCCGGATGCCGGATGGCCATCATGTATTGCATGTGTGCATCTGTAGTGGTGGTGGGCTTGACTATCCATCGACTGCAAGCCGTGTGGGATTTGAGTTCCAGGCTGTTTTTCTCATCGGTAGTGTTGAATTACTTTTCCTTCTGGCATTGTGTACGGAATACTTTTTCAAATATTTTGTAACTGTCCTCTATGCTGTGTTTGTTTGATCCGACGACTCTTGCAATGGCTTGTTGTGTACTTCATGTTTTTATGCTGTGCAGGGAGCTCTACCACTCCATCGCTAGCTTATGTGAACAGGTGGTACGGCTCTGGCTACTGGTTGTTTTAGAACCATCCCTGAAGGCTGAGGACCTGGCGGCGTTCCGCGGGAAGTTGTCTCGCTGGCAGTCCTCCATGGCCAAGCAGTCCTCAAAGAATCCTGAACAGTGGTCAGTACGCCAGAAAAGACAGTGGAGGTAGGTGTGTACTTGTGTGTGTGTGTGTGTGCGTGTGTGTACGTGTGTGTACACATGTGTGTACGTGTGCGTGCGCGCGTAACACAAGCCCGGACGTAGACTCGTCGGCGATCGTACTGCAAAGTCAAGGCTCCTTCCAACCCGTGTCACTGAGACACTTTTTGCCGGCGATGCTGCAGTCTTCTCCACCACCCAGCAAGACTTCGAGTCGTCCACGACCAAGTTTATCTTGTGCACTTCCCAATGGGGTTTAACTGTCAGCGTGGCCAAAACCAAAGGTATGGCGGTGAACACTCCGACGAATGCGCCAATGGCACTGGATGGTGGTGAAGCCTTAGATTCTGTGGAATCATTCACGTATCTTGGCAGTGCCATACACCGCGATGGTTTGTCCTCACATGACGTCCAGGCCCACATTGGCAAGGCATCCAAAGCCTTTGGTAGTTTGAAGCAAGCTGTGTTCGAGAACCGGTCACTGAGTCTGCAGTGTCGTCGTCGCGTGTATGTTGCCGTGGGGCTCTCTACCCTCCTCTACGGCACGGAGACCTGGACAACGAAGGCTCCAGACCTACGGCACCTCAACCTCTTCCACCATCAATGTGTCAGATCTATCGTTGGAGTGTCGCGACGGCAGCAATGGGAGACCCACGCAACATCCTCAGCCCTTGCAAAGACCCTTGGAGTGCCTGAGGACATTGGTCACATCGTACGGGAACGGCGTTTGCGCTGGCTTGGACACGTGGCACGGATGGAAGATCACCGGTTGCCGAAGTGTGTTCTCTTCGGTGAACTGCCTGCCTCGCGCCCCGCGCATGGTCCACACAAGAGGTGGAGGGACGTCGTTATGGATGACTTTGCGTCGGTTGAGCCACCGGTACCAACATGTGGATGGTACGATGCAGCCCAAAACCGTCCGGAGTGGCATGCCATTGCCCGTCGACCACCCAAGGCACCCTCTGCTGCTGGCTACGGTTGCGCCTGCAACCGCATGTTCCGTCGAAGCGGCGACCTGAAACGCCATCAGTCATTCTGTCTTGGACTGGAGAAATAACAATGCGCTATCATTGCTACGCAATGGGCAAGGTCAAGGTCAAGGTGTGTGCGTGTGTGTACACGTGTGTGTATGTGTATACGTGTGTGTACGTGTATGTGTGTATGAGTGTGTATGTGTGTGTGTATGTGTGTGTGTGTGTGTGTGTGTGTGTGTATGTATGTGCGTGCGTGCGTGTGTGTGTGTGTGTGTGTGTGTGTGTGTGTGTGTGTGTGTGTGTGTGTGTCCCATATGGTGCAGTGGTATGCACAGCTATTTCCAATCGAGAGGTTGCGGGTTTGATTCCCGATGATTATGGTCTCACACGTCTTTCTTCTCTTTCTCAGACTCCTCCTGACTTTTCTTTCATTCTCCTGGGTAGTTACCAGCAGCCAGTGCATACCGGAGTATGTGGTGTGATGTGTGTGCGGGGATGAAAAATGAAAAAGACCAAAAAGTAGGGATTCACTGGCTAGAAAAAAAGCCACTTCATAGCTGTGTGGTATAAACCAGGCTGAATGGTGGCGGTCAATTCTTCAGCCTTGCAAGCTGTTGAATGGTGCAATCCCAGCACAAGTTGCAGAAGCCATAGCATTGCTATCATCGCCTCCGGCGATGGGCGTCAAAAGGTGTGTGTGTGTGTGTGTGCCAGCTAGTTCGGTTGGTGGGTACACTTATGCCAGATAGTGTTGGGCCTGTTGCCAACGGGCTCGGCTGCTTGAAGGTGTATTGTTGTACCTACCACTTTTGTTGGTTTCAGGGTTCATATACTTTCTATTTGAAGTATACATACCTGTTAACCATGGACTGCTTCTGGCTAGATTAACTCTTGTGTAATCAATGGTGCTAGTGAAGCTTATATCAGATCCACTCTGATTTAGCCACCCACACTAGTACCAAGTATTACCTTCACTGGGGGCAGGGGTACCTGCAGTTGGATCCCGGGACGGATACCCTGATGCCGTCAATCCTTTTTCTGCACCTTGTCCTCACCCACTTACTGAGGTGTGGTGAGCCCGTAAGTGGGATCATTTCAAGTCCACCCTAGTTTGGGGATTTCAGGGGGTGTCGGCCGCTGGGTGGTTCAATGGCCAATTGAGTCATCTTTCCAAGATTCCTTTTGAGTCTCTCTCCCCTCTCCCGGGGAGACCCACGTGACCAGTTTTGGCAGTGAGCAAGTACAAGTGTGTGTGCTTGCGTGCATGCGTGTGTGTGTGCTTGCATGCGTGTGTGTGTGTGTGTGTGTGTGTGTGTGTGTGTGTGTGTGTGTGTGTGTGCGTGTGTGTGTGTGGGTGTGGGTGTATGTGTATGTGTGTGTATATGTGTGTGTGTGTGTGTGTGTGTGTGTGTGTGTGTGTGTGTGTGTGTGTGTGTGTGTGTGTGTGTGTGTGTGTGTGTGTGTGTGTGTGTGTGTGTGTGTGTGTGTGTGTGTGTGTGTGTGTGTGTGTGTGTGTGTGTGTGTGTGTGTGTGTGTGTGTGTGTGTGTGTGTGTGTGTGTGTGTGTGTGTGTGTGTGTGTGTGTGTGTGTGTGTGTGTGTGTGTGTGTGTGTGTGTGTGTGTGTGTGTGTGTGTGTGTGTGTGTGTGTGTGTGTGTGTGTGTGTGTGTGTGTGTGTGTGTGTGTGTGTGTGTGTGTGTGTGTGTGTGTGTGTGTGTGTGTGTGTGTGTGTGTGTGTGTGTGTGTGTGTGTGTGTGTGTGTGTGTGTGTGTGTGTGTGTGTGTGTGTGTGTGTGTGTGTGTGTGTGTGTGTGTGTGTGTGTGTGTGTGTGTGTGTGTGTGTGTGTGTGTGTGTGTGTGTGTGTGTGTGTGTGTGTGTGTGTGTGTGTGTGTGTGTGTGTGTGTGTGTGTGTGTGTGTGTGTGTGTGTGTGTGTGTGTGTGTGTGTGTGTGTGTGTGTGTGTGTGTGTGTGTGTGTGTGTGTGTGTGTGTGTGTGTGTGTGTGTGTGTGTGTGTGTGTGTGTGTGTGTGTGTGTGTGTGTGTGTGTGTGTGTGTGTGTGTGTGTGTGTGTGTGTGTGTGTGTGTGTGTGTGTGTGTGTGTGTGTGTGTGTGTGTGTGTGTGTGTGTGTGTGTGTGTGTGTGTGTGTGTGTGAGCGTGTGTGTGTGAGCATGTGTGCGTGTGCATGTGTGCGTGCGTGGGTGAGCATGTGTGTACGTGTGTGTTGTGTGGTGTTGGGGATACCTTCCAGCGGTCAGAACATTAATTTAGATTGGGAAGGCTCTAGAGGGACACACATGTCATGGCAAGAGCTCACCAAACTCAGGCTACGTGAGATGGGGCAATTGTAATTTCAGTCCAAGTACAGTGCTGCTCAATGAAATCCAGTCTTGTGAGTCAAGTTGCGCTGCCCTCTGCCAGTGCACAGCCCAGTGTTGACAGGTCTGGGGATGCACAGTGCTCGGCGTGACATTGGCTCGCATGGTCGAGTTTCCCAGAGCAGCACTGTAAGTTCCTAAGGAATGCTCGCAGCCCAGTCATGTGTGTCTGTGTCTCGTGTCTCCTTGGGTACTTTACAGGCAAGTTCATAACACTACTAAGCTCTGTGCCATCGGCCCTGATTTCCGTGGCTTGCAGCCAGTGCTGGACGCTTTAGCCGCTGGCTGGCATGGTTGGCCGCTGGATTGCCTTGTCAAGTGTGGCAAGCAGCTTCTCATTGCTGCTGCTGACATTGTACGCGATAAAGAGTCGCACTTCACCGCTGGCATGTCCGACGTACTGGAGTTGTGCCGCAACGACAGTCTGCTGGTGTTGCAGAGTCGCTGGAAAGTCCTGCACATGCGCCAACAGCCCGATGCCGCCATTGGATTGGCGCTGTGCATAGCTAAGGTTCTACTTGAGTCACAGTCCCTGGTTGTCAGTGATGCCACAGCTACGACTTCATCGTCCACTGATGCTACTGCCAGTGGTAGCATGGAAGAGGACACGGAAGCTGACGATGCTCCTTCTCCTCCTTCTCCTCCTCCTGTCGATGCTGCTGCTGCTGATGATGCTAATGCTGCTGGTGCTGATGCCGATGCTGATGCTGCTGATGCTGATGCTGCTGATGCTGATGCTGATGCCGATGCCGATGCCGATGCCGATGCTGATGCCGATGCTGCTGCTGCTACTGATATGGCTGCTGCTGACGTTGGTGTTGGTGCTTGTGGTGTTGATGTTGCTACACGGGGCAGTGAAGCTGTTAGCACAACCAATGTAGCTGCTGCCTCCAGTAAGATGCCACCACCATCTGCAGACAGAGCCAAGCACCTCTGCTCTGCCATTGACACACGCAGAGGCAGTGACAAGCAGGGTGATCCCAAGGCTCAGCCACCACCTACTAAAGCCTTGCAACAGCAGCACCGCTCTAGAGGCAGATCACTGCTCGCTCGGCGCCTTCCTGTGGACCATGTGAAGATGTTCCTGTCCGTTGCAGAGCAGGCTCCTATGGAGCCTACTCCGGCGACACGTAATCTGCCGGCCAAGCCTCGCTTGTGCGAGCTGTACAGCAGTGCGTTTGACATTGTACCTATCGTTGCTGACCTCTGCCAGCTCCTAGCCTCCGTGGAAGAAGCAAGCCTCAAGTATGTGCACCCGCTGGTTGTGAACCTGGGACTGCATGCGCTGGGCATACCATGGGACAGCACTGCCTCTCAAACCTACTTTGTAAGTCCTGTGCCGGCGAATGCGTGCGTTTGTGCTTGCTGTGCAGTGGATAGTGAAGACCCGAAACGTGCTTTATTTTCTGAAACCTTTTCCAGCAAGTACTATGATCGCGCTGAAAAGGGCAGTTCATTGATTTTATGAGCAGGGTCTTTTTTTGTAGAATTCGGGTAAAGTCAGAATTTCTTGGTTCAAGGTGTAGGTGTATCGTTATACAGGTGGAATCCTGATAATTCGAATATGGCTTAATTCGAACATGCCGCTTAATTAGAAGTTTTTCCAGGACCGATTCTATCAATACGATTCCCACATAAAATTGAACTCGGATGGTGAGCCAATTCAATTATGGTGAAAAAAGAGAAGGACAAAATGTTACGAGTTATGACTAACTGTCCACCAATGTAACCAAAGTTGGTCTGCGCCTTGGAGAAGTGTTGGAGCTAGGTGTCAGGTCGCCGAATGTCTCAGTACTCCTTGTCAGTTTTGTGCCATTTTGTCGCACACGCTGACTGTATAAGATCTGGTTACATTGGTGGATAGTTATTCATCACTCGTAACATTTTGTCCTTCTCTTTTTTCCCACATAAAATATTCTGATACTTTGAACCTCGAACTGGACATGTCCGGTTAATTAGAGTCCCACGAATTCCACTTAGGGGTCGTCCGTAATTATCGAAAAATTAAAAAATCCCTCCTCGTGCAAAATTGTCTCTAAGGACAGTTACTGTAAGACATGTTATTATAACGAGTCGCAAATTTAACGATTGTCCAAAATTCATAGGTTAACGAGAAGATATGTTAACGATCTTGCAGTATTCTGCCATATCCACACACAGCATATATGAATCAGTACGGCCTCAACGGATCTTATTATAACGAAGAAATGTCATCCGTTAAAACGTTAGATTTGCTTCCTCGTAATATACACATGTCTTACAGTAGTCATGACTCGTAACGTTTTGTCCTTCTCTTTTTTCCCCACATAAAATATTCTAATAATTTGAACCTCGAACTAGACATGTCCGGTTAATTAGAAGTCCCACAAATTCCACTTTAATACCTGAAAATGTGTGGGATTTGTGCTGATAATTTGAAGTTCACTGTACACTGTACAGGTCAGTTTGCATGTGCAGGCTGTGCCGGTCAGTTCAGTATCAGTGAAATCTGTGTCTAAGGTCCATAGCGCAACTCTGCGTGACTGAGAGCATTTTGACATACATATTGTGTTGTGGGTCCATGTTTGGATAATTAGAATGTCCGGATAGTTACAAGTTTTTTCATGGCATTTTGAGGTTCGAATTATCAGGATTCCACCTGTAACAAACTCGTGTCCCATAATTCTGCATCCTATTGATCAAATCATTGAATCCAGCCGGCGAGCAACACAATAATATATTTTAGTTTTGACCGCAAAAGAATAAAGTAGTCGATTGTGGAGGCCAGTCGATGGGGAACAATGTTCGCGCCACTTTCAGACCAAGATCGTTCGACTTGCTACTCACAAGACTACATGTGCTTGTTCTGAAACTTTGGAGTTGAGGGAGGTGCCGACATTGACCCGATGGAAAAGTCAACCATTGATAAAAGTGTTCAGGAGGTAGTGCCATCTAGACACCAGGTGGAGCAGTCTTGTGCCGAAGAGACTGCGATACACCATTCCCGGTCAAATAGGTTCCGAAGACGGCCATTGTCACATTCAATATTGTATGCGCGGCTCGCTGGCTGTATTCAGTTATCAGCTGCGGAATTGTTTGGCGCCAGTTCGATTGGTAAAATATCCTGCTAACGGTTCACTACTGTCTCCTAGGACCAAGTCCATTCGACCTGTGATGTTTTTTGATATAACTTCTGTTCATAGGTCGAACGCAATCGGGCAATGCACATTCTGAGTTGGCTGGTGATTGAGTTCTGCGGCAAGTTTGGCGCGAAGGAAGCCCGACCTCACATGTCTTCTCTGCTAAGCAAGACAAAGAACGGGACGGACTTCTCTGAATTTGGCCTCTTCTTGCCGTGTATCCTGGTGAAGACGCTATTGACTGTGTTTGTGTCAGAAGACTACCGTGCACAAGAGCGGCGCAATGATGACCAGCACCAGCAGCAGCACCCTGAAAAGCAGCCGCGCAAAAGCCATGGGCATGCGGCTAGCAAGCTGAGCGCGTTCACCATCAATACCTTGAGGCTGGCCAGGAGTACTTTAGGTGAGATCTTGTTGCCAGAGTGCATAGCCGCCAACAGTGTGGGAGTACATAACCCCCAACAGGGTGGGAGTACATAACCCCCGACAGTGTGGGAGTACATAGCCGCCAACAGTGTGGGAGTACATAACCCCCGACAGTGTGGGAGTACATAGCCGCCAACAGTGTGGGAGTACATAACCCCCGACAGTGTGGGAGTACATAGTCCCCGACAGTGTGGGAGTACATAGCCGCCAACAGGGTGGGAGTACATAACCCCCGACAGTGTGGGAGTACATAGCCGCCAACAGTGTGGGAGTACATAACCCCCGACAGTGTGGGAGTACATAACCCCCAACAGTGTGGGAGTACATAGTCCCCGACAGTGTGGGAGTACATAGTCCCCGGCAGTGTGGGAGTACATAACCCCCAACAGTGTGGGAGTACATAGCCCCCAACAGTTTTTATTTTATTTTTTATACTCCGATGATCAAATTAATGGTGATGAATTGGGGCGAAAAAATGGGGGGGAGGGTGCGGCTAATACTCCGTGCGGCTAATACTCCGTGCGGCTAATACTCCGTGCGGCTAATACTCCGTGCGGCTAATACTCCGTGCGGCTAATACTCCGTGCGGCTAATACTCCGTGCGGCTAATACTCCGTGCGGCTGATGCTCCGGAAAATACGGTGTTGTGTGTATACAATCATAGAGGTCTGGCAGGACTTTACGACTTAATCAAGGCCGGGTGTGTACGGCCAAGGCACGTGACGCTGAGGCCTGCACCCGCGGCCGTAAGCTCGAGGCCTTGGTGAAGGCGAAAAGTCCTACCGCACCTCCATGATCGTGTTTCAGGGGTTTTTTTTCTTTGGCCACGTATATAAGCGTGGTACCGTATAGGGTGGAGGTTGGGGACGTGGTGGCTAGCCTGAACTATTGTATAAGTACACATTTACGAAATCTTTCGTTTGATCACTCCACCAGCAGGTTCGTTACGGACTAAATTTTGTTTTTGGTCGAGGTCTGTCACCCCGAACGTTCAAAAAAAAATTAGTCCGAACGAAACTTTGTACTTTACAGTACGAGATTATTTTACTGGTGACGCTCAGTTAGGAGTCGGAGTAGTACATGCACATTTACATGGAGATTCCCAACACCCAAAATGACACCTTAGTATAGAAGTGGATAGTTGTAAACAGTCCCTGTATCAGTATATCAGTAGTTGTATATACCAGTAATCATAGCCATGCAGTCGCAGTCGGCCTCAAAATACAATATGGGGCCGTCGCAACAGTTTTTTTGCCGTCCCTGAAACGAACATCGTTCGTTTCGTACTCGGACCCCCTCCCCTCCCTCTGAAACGAACGCAACTTACTTTGCTGGACGACGAAAATCGCATGCATGCGGATTGCGAGCTCTGTCGCCAGAATTTGCCCCTTTCCAGTGATTAGTTAGCAGTGTACGGGATGTCATTGACGACAGGCTTTATTCAAGTTTATTGCTACCGTATTCTGTCTAGGTGGCCTTTATCGGCTCATCAAGGCCACCGCGGCGAAAGCTGCTCTTTGGCTACAACCATAGAAACGGCACAGGAAAAACCTGAAGAGACTATCATGACGCTTATTGCTCATATCAGTTGGGCCCAAGCAGCTGGATTGTAATTGCGAGTTTTACGCTGCACTTTTGCGTATTCAGGAATTGCCAATTATTACAGTAACATCGGATGCCGAAGAACGGGCAGCCGAAAAACATCCAGGCTGCAAACTAAGTAGAAAGTCCACAAAATGTAGGAAAGCACCAGGCTGAAAGCAACATTCAGGAACACCAGAGCGTGTGTGTTCATGTAACACTGCGTGAACAGTGCACCTGTACCAAGGGAATCTTGCTGAATGTGCAAGCACAGAACAAGAGCAACAACACTGGAATCTCGAAAATACAGTCGAATGTCACTTATCCGGTCTCCAGTTATCCGAGCACGTCGGTTATCCGACAAGCCCGGGAGTGGTAATGTTATGACTCTCAACAGTAAAATTCTAAAAAAAATTTGTTGTATATTATACGGTGTAATATGCATTTAGATAGATAGATGTGGTCAAGTATGGTAACATGTATTTGTACATGGAGCAATTCATGAATACCCATGAATATATTTGGATATTGTGTACATAAATCAGTGAAATCCAGCCATATATGCACATGAAAAATGATATCAGTTATCCAACATATCCAGTTATCCAACATGCCTGATTCCCGAAGTGGTCGGATAAGTGACATTCGACTGTAAGAACATTGTTAACCTGGGGCGGGTCTTTTGCGCCCGATGCAACTGGATAGAACTTGCTATTTTTTCGTCGTGGCTGTCTTGACTATCCCCCTGCTGTATGTGAACTAGTTATCTCCC